TTAGCATACACTAAACTTCACATATGTATACAATTTGATAACATTTGTACTCGTGTACACTCAGAAAATCATCACCATAATCAAGAACAGTAAACACAGCCGTCACCTGCAGAAGTTTCCTTGTGGCCCTTTTTGATCCCTTCCACCTGCCCCCCCGCAACTCCCTAATTCCTGTCTAGAGGCAACCACTGACCTGCTTTATCACTAGGCCTGTCTGGATTTTCTACAATATTATGTAACTAGAATCAGACAGTATGAACTCTTACCTGTCGAGCACTGTGCTTCTGATACCATCACGATTGTCTCATGAATCAACAGTTGTTCCATTTATTGCCGAGCAGTGCTCCATTGTAAGGATAAATCACAAACTATTTATTCACCCAGAGATGGATATTTGGGTTGTTTCCAGTTTGTAGCTATTACAGATAAAGTTGCTAAGAATATGTGTGTAAAAGTCTTTGTGTAAATAAACACTCTCATTTCTCTTGGTGGAATGTCTGGCACTTCTTAAGTGAATGTTTAAATTTTTTAAAAACTCTTAAATGGCTTTCCCACTTGCTGCACCCTCACCAACCCTATTGGCAACCTTTCCGATTGTGATCACTCCAGTGGCTGTGTGCTGGTTTCTTGCTGTGGGATTAATTTACTTTCCCCTAATGATTAATGACGTTGAGCACCTTTTCATATACTCATTTGCCATCCATATATCTCTCTGGTAGGCTATCTGTATAAGTCTTTTGCCCATTTTTAATTGGGTTGTTTTATTATTATTGTATTTCGAGTGTTCCTTCCATATTCTGGCTTGAATAGTTTTTGTGGTTTTTTTATTTTTTATTTAAATTTTTAAAATTTGTTTCATTGTTGAGAGTATTACAAATGTCCCCCATTTATTCCCCCCCCTTTGTCTCCCTCCACCTATTTCCCACCCCACTCCAGGCCTCTACCTATCTATTTGTGTGTTTTTTAAATACATGATTTGCAATATATTTTTCTAATCAATGGATTGTTTTTATGTTCTCTTCATAGTATCCTCCAAATAAATGAATTCCTTAATTTTGATAAAGGCCTATATATATATATGAGATATATATATATCATATATATATGTATATTGGATTATGCTATTGATGACGTGTTTAACAAATCACTTCCTAACCTGAGATAAAAAAGATTGGCTTCTATGTTTACTTTCCATTGTTTTATATCTTTAGGTTTTACATTTAAGTCCGTGGACCACTTTTAATTCATTTTCATGTGTTAAAATGAAAGGATCAAGTTCTATTTTTTGGTTTGTTTTGCATATGGCTAATTGTTCCAGCATTATTTGTTGGAAATACTGTTCTTTCTTCATTGAATTGTGTTCCTTGAAAATCATTTGACCATGGGTGTTTGAGCTTATATCTGGCTTTTTTATTCTGTTTCTCCAATCTACTTCTCTACCGTCATGCCGATTCAACGTTGTTTGATAACGTAATAAGTAATACAATATCTGAGAACAGATACTGTAAGTCCTCCAACTTTGTTCTATCTTTTCATAGTTATTTTTGCAATTCTAGGTCATTTTAATTTTCATATAAATTTAAAAATAAGCTTGTTTAGTACTATCAAAAAGTCTGTTTGGACTTTAATTGAGATTTTATTAAATCTATAGATCAGTTTAAGGAAAATGGCATCTTAAGGTTATTATTTTCCCATCCAAAACATGGTTCTTAGTTTTCTCAAATAATTTAGATTTTTAAAGTTTATATCAACAATGTTTGGTAGTTTTCAGTGTATAAGTCTTATACATCTTTTGTTAAATTTAATATTTTTGATGCTTTTTAAAATGGTATTACTTTAATTTCAGTTTCCAATTGATCATCACTAGTACATAAAAATAAAAATAAATTTATATTATTGACCTTGTATTCTACAACCCTGCTAAACTCACTTCTTATTTCTAGAAAATTTTTTTGTAGATTGTGTAGGATTTTCTACATAAACAATCCTATCGGTTGTTAATACTGAAGCATCAATTTCTTTCATTCCAGTTTTGCTGTCTTTTAGATTGTCTTGCTAAAAGCATTGGCTAGAACCTCCAGGATTATGTTTAACAGAAGTGGTTAAAGAGAATATTCTTGCCTTTATCTTAAGGGAAAGCACTCAGACTCTACCCTTAAAGATGATGTACATTTAGGTTTTTCATATATTCCTTTATCAGGTTCAGATATTTTCCTTTTATTCACACACAGTTTGCTGAGAATTGTTATCAGCAATGAATGTTTAATCTGGTCAGTGGCTTTCTAGTATCTATCAAGATGATCATAAGTTTTGGTTTGTTTGGTCCATTAATATGATGAGTTACATTGATTCATTTTCAAATGTTAAACCAACCTTGCATTCCCAGGATCAACCCACTTGGTCATATTGTATTATCTTTTTTTAAAATGTTAATGGATTCTATTATAAAACTTTGTTAATTATTTCTGCATTAATGTTTATGAATGGTATTGGGGTGTGTGTTTTTTCTTCTAATATTTTTTCTGTTTTGGTATCTGGGTAATGCTGTTCTCATACAATGAGTTGGTAAGTGTTCTACCTTGCTTATTTTCTGGAACTGTCTGTGGAGATTTTGCATTATTTCTTCCTTAAAAATTTGTAAAATTCCCAAGTGAAGCTACCTCAGCCTGGAGCTTTCCTTATGGGAAAATTTTAAACTACAAATTTGACTTCTCTTATAGACAAGGCTATTCTGAGTTTCTATTTATTCTAGAGCGAATTTTGAATTTTGATAGTGTATGTATTTCAAGATATTTGCTCATGTACTTTATATTGCCAAATCTGGGGACATTTTTCACTATATTCTCTTATTACCCTTTTAGCACAGGTAGCATCTATATCTAAGTTAGCTGCATAACTCCTGATATTATCCATTTGTTTTATCTCTTTTTTGTTCTGAACAGTCTGGATAGAGTTCTATCCATTTTTCTGACTTAGGCAAAGAACCACCTTTGGTCTCATTGATTTTCTCTTTTGATTTAAATTTTATTTTATTGATTTCTGCCAACAGGTTTATTATTTTCTTACACCTGCATACTTTGGTTTTAGTTTGCACTTTTTCTAGTCTCTTAAGATAGAAGCAGAGGTCAATGATTTAGACTTTTTTCCTGTTCTAATATATAGCATTTATGGCTATAAATTGTTCTCTAAGCACTGCTTTAAGCATATCCCACAATACTGATACATTATGTTTTAATGTTCACCCTTACTTCAATTTTGATACTGTTTTTTTACCCATGGCATATATAGAATTATATTATTTACTATTCAGTTATTGAGGAGCTTTCTAGAATTCTTTGGTTATTAATTTCCAATTCAATTCTATTTTCAGAGAACATACTATATAAGATTTGAATTCTCTTAAAAACAGAGAAAGCTGTTTTATAGCCCAAAATGAGATCTGTTCATTAATGCAATGAGTGGGCTTTAAAGAATATGTATTCTGCTCTTGTTGAGTGTAGTGTTCTGTAAATGTAAATCAAGTTGGTTGATAGTGTTGTTCAAACATTCTGTCTTGTCTGTTTTCCACCTAGTAGTCCTATAATTATTGAAAAGCAGTATTAAAATACCTGCTTGTGGATTCTTTTTCTCTTGCAATTCAATCACCTTCTTCATTTATTTTCAAAGTCTGTTATTCCCAGAACTGGATTGTGATGTCTGCAGAAACCGACTTTGTATGAGGTTAATACAGATACTCCTGCTTTCTTCTGATGAGAGCTGTTATGATAGGTTTCTTCTATCTTTTACTTTTATGTTTTTTATATATTTAAAGTGGATTTCTTATAGGCAACATGCAGTTGGGTCTTGGAAATTATTTTTTAATATGACACCAAAAATACAAACAACAAAAGCAAAAATCAACATAGGACTACATCAAACTTAAAACCTTTGCATAATAGGAGGAACAATTTTAAAAATGAACCACAACCTACATAATGTTTTGCAAACCATGTATCAGATAATATTCCAAATACATAAAGAACTCAGTCAACGTAATAACAACAGCAAAAAACAAAAATCTGATTAATAAATGGGCAGAGGGGCTAAAGAGATATTTTCCAAAGAGGTCATTAAAACAGCCAACAAACACATGAAAAGGCGCTGACCATCGCTGACCATCAGGAAATGCAAATCAAAACGGCAGTGAGACATCACCTACCACCTGGGAGAATGTCTGCCATGGAGAAGACAAGAGGTCACAGGTGCCGGTGAGAATGTGGTGGAAAGGAAACCCTGTACATTGCCGCTGCGCATGTTCATTAGCCCAACCACTATGGGAAGCAAAGTGGAGTCCTCAAAAAATTCAAAATAGATCTACCATACGATCCAGCAACTTTGCTTCTACGTATTTATCCAAAGAAAATGAAAAGAGGGTTTTGACAAGATATATGTACTCGTATGTTATTTACATTATTGACAATAGCCAAGATATTGCTCTTCAGTGGATAAATGGATAAAAAGGATATGGTACATATATACACAATAAAATGTTATTCAGTGATTACAAAGGACCTTGAGCACATTTTGCTAAGTGAGATAAGCCAGACAGAGAAGACAAGTACTGTATGACATCACATACATGTGGAATCCAAAAAGGTAAGCCTGTAAAAAATACAGTAAAATGGAGATTACCAGGGATGGAGGGGTGGATAAGACTGAAATTGTTTAAGGGTACAAACTTGTAACAACTGGTAAGTAAGCCAAAGTGATCTAATGCAGAGTATAATAAATATAGACAATAATGCACTATAATTATGTAATCTGATAAATATCACTATATGGCAATCATATTACAATATGTAAATATAACAAAGTAACATTCTAACACCTTAAACTTATACAATGTTACATGTCAAATTTATGTAAAAATGTTTAAAAACAGCTAAATTTGGAGATTTTTAAATAGTATGTCTATAAGAGCAAACATTAAAAAATATTTAAAATTTATATTTCTAAATAAAGTCAATGACCATTTTACCACAATTTAAAAAACGAAAACTTCCTTTTCCCATCTCCAAAAAATATATAAGGATGAACTAATACAATATGTATAAAGTAATTATCCTAGTGCATAAAAATAAGTACTAGAAATTATTACTTCTAAAACCGAAAGTCTCTTTCAAGGCATCAAAAACAAAGTTCAATATCAAACAAATAATGAATGGCATTAAGGATTCTTATGAACACATTCATGCTAATTTTTCTGGTGCATGTTTTATAGGTTTATTTGCTATTCCTTGTTGTGACCTAAAATCTCTTTGTGCTTCAGAAAGAGCTACTTGCTATTTTGTGTTGCACTCAGTCCAGAACTGGTTGGAATTCATCAGCTGTGGAGAGGAGCTGGCTCCCTGTGGTTTCTCACCCTTGCCCCTATAAAAAGAGTAATGACAATAGTGTCTTAGAACTCCAGTATTATTTTTTCAGAATGTTACATGTGAAGGGAAAGTCTATTCTCAACCCTAGACATCTCCCCTCCTAGTTAAAATTCCCATCAGCTGGGACAGCAGACTTCTCGCTTATGCTCCAGCAGCCAACTTCTTGGGGGCAAAGTTCACTTTATCAAATTTGACAGTAAGTTACAACAAATGGAAAATACTCAGAATTCTCATTTAGTAAAACAATAAATAATAAACAGAACAAAGAACTCAAGATTTATACTTAGTAAAGCAAAAAACAAAAAATTTTACTATCTTAGAAGTTTTCATTTATTCAAATGGACCTGTCAAAATATTTGTTATCTTTTAAGAATTAATAATGATGCTGTCTTGTTACCTTCTAAACTATGCCAAGTCCTTTGCGGTTAAGAGTTCTTTATTTTGACTCGAAGAGTAATCCTTAACTCAGAGGAAGAGGGAGGAACAGCTGTGCTGCTGACAGCTAACAGCTGATTCATAGCCTGACCAGATTTTGGAAGAAAGTCTCTTTATGGGGAAAAAATGTGGTCAAGATGTCATCAGAAAAGAATATTCGTTATTATGGCTGGACTACCTTTGTGTCTTAGCAGATAACGGAGGACTTAAGTGGGGAAATCTGAAGATGTCATTCAAGTGGAGAGTTTGGGTTTTGAGTTTTTAAAATGGCAACCAGTAAAGAGCTGTTAGGTGGTAGTGGGGGTGGATGGTGATGACGTCATGTGTTTCTCTAGGTTGAAACATTTAGGGTTTTATTAGAACAATGGTTTATACTCTTAATTACAACAGCACAAGGCTCTTTGCCAATGCTTTTTTTTTGGTGAGCAACTTGCATATGACTTTGGTCAAACTCTTTTAAATGATTCTGCAACTCTGTCTTACCTTCTGGAAACTTGTCATGATTATAAAGTGTACCTCAAAACACCATTAGTTGATAAGTATTAATCTGTTAGAGTTGTGATTAAAATAGAGGCTGGGGTACTTATTATGGTAATATTGGGAAAGGAGGAATTTTGGCATAAGGTGAATCCTAACATAAAATTTTAAACCTTAAATTTAATTTTACAATAATTCAAGTAATTTAAAGATTTAAATAATTTGGAGACTATTTTTTGGTTAATGGTGTCATTGATTTAAACCAATTTTATGAAACATTTCATATAGTAAAATGAAATAAAAGCTTAAGACTATTACTACCCTGGAAAAGATTTAACAACATATTGTCTATTTCTATATTTTTCTAAGACAAGCATACAATTCAAGTAATTGGATCAGTTGGAATAACTACCGTAAAGATAATGATAATAATAATGTACCAAGAAGCTGTACGAAAATTTTTTGTAAGAAGATAAGCACTTTAGTAATACCTATCCGCAGTGTTTTCATTTGGTGAGGCATGGGTCATCTGAAGATACAAGCTCCTTCTGACAAGAGCCAAGCTAATACGAACCCACATAAATGAATTAATGTCCCTTCCTTCACTGAGCCGTTGGGCAATAGTATGGGCAAAAAGAAGAAACATGCAGGTCAATTCAGACAGATAATTACAGAGAGTGGGCTGGAGGGAGCGGGCACTCCCTGGGCTCCTCTGGCTCGGCTCACTCCAGTTCTGCAGTCCCCGGTCCCCATGTTCCCTTCACGGCTCTGTGGCTGGTGAATTCTCAGGGCAGGCGGCTCAATATGAATTCCCGGTGACCATAAAAGAACTGGAAGACAGTGGGCTGAATTTAAATGCCAGAGGTGTTTTGATTGACTAGTGCTGTGTTCTTCAAAAAATCTGAACTGGTACGTCTTTATGGAGGTCCCCGGTCTCCATAGCCTCTCACATGCTCTAATGCCTCCCCAAGCTGCTTTTCACACCGATGTGCCCTGCCCAGCCCCAAAGACACTGGTGATTGGGCCCCCTGCAGAAAAAAACACTGCTCTGCTGGCTCTATTGCCATGTCATCCCCTTAGCAGTTTATCAAAAGCTCGTCACATTGTCCCTTCAATCACAGTAACTCACTTGAGACCACCTCAAAAAAAAAAAAAAATTAACAGGTGGAACCTATTGGAGGTGAAGACAACTAACAAACATTATTAAAAATATTGTTAAAAATATGCAGATGGCTTGAATGAAGATATAGCATGTTTCTGAATAAAAAGTTTTTTTATTTAAAATATTTTTCATTGAGGTATAATTTAAGTACCATAAAATTCACCAATTTTAGGTGTACAACTCAATGATTTTTTTAATACATTTATGGACTTTACCTATCATAACCCAGGTTTATTTTTAATCTTCCTACAATTGTATTCAAATTTCCAACAGGAATTATTTTGGGGGGAGTGGAGTTTGACAAAATGATTCTAAGATTCATTTGAGAAAACTGTGTAAAAGCAGACAAAAATTTTTGAGAAAGCAGAGTACTCTACAAATAATTTCCTAAAAAGAGCAACCTAAAAAAATCAACAAATACACTGTAAAGCTGTAATTATCAAGGTTATGTGATACTGGCCCAAAGTTGATCAATATCATCACAAAATGGATCCCAGGATATATAATAATTTTTAATTGATAAATGTAACTTAAAAATTTAACTCAAAAAAATTAATAGTAAAGGAAATTTTATTTAATAAAATAGTACTTATTATTTTAATTTGGGAACAATTTTTTTTTCACTCTCAATTTATATCTTTGTCCCACATGTACTCCAAATCATTTAAAGACTTGAATAAAATTATAATAGGTTTTTTAAAGCATAAAGGAATAAAAGTCATAAACTTGATCATTTAAGTATCTATATACATAAGGACATTGAAAAAAAATAGCAAGAATGGTAGGAAAGATTTTATAATAAATAGGACTTTGTTTATAAGCCTAATATCGAGAAAACTGTAACAAGTCAACAAGAAAAGTACAGATCTCAGTAGAAAAATAGGTGTCAGTGTTTGGAGTCTTCATAAAACAATATGAAGACAAAGTTTAGTGTTTGAGAAATTTTTTGGAAGGGTTTTTAGACTCATCTATAGAAGAGGGGACAGGAAAGAATTAGGTAAAGGAAGAAATGGAGTTTTGATATAAGCCTGACAAGTAACTAACCCTATGTTGGGGGTGGGAGAGGAAAAAGGTTGAGTTCTGGAGCTAGAATGGCATCAGAATTGTCCCAAGTGGAACCAAGATGTCCATTCCCTTTTACCTCCATATCTGTAACTCACAGTGTGTGGGGCACACTGGCAGGGGACATGGCCTCCAGCTAGTCAACTTTTGCAGCTAAAGTAATCCCTGAAGGGTGTCTACTGACGGCACAGCCAGCTCCTCCAGCAACAAGCCTTTGAAGTGGGCCCTTTGGCAGGTCATCTCCATGCCAAGCACAGTGGGTAAAGAACATGACCACGCAATTAGTAATCATACAGGAATAAAGGGGAAATATGAAGCAATGTTCAAATTCACTAATAATAAATTAATGCACATCAAAATATTGATGATATACCATCTTGCCTATCAAATTATCAATCAGTTGCAATATTAATAACAGCAGTTACTGTGTACTTATTGTCTGCCATGTCCTATATTAAGAGCTTTAAATCTATTTTCCCATTTAATTCTCACTAGTACTGGGTATTCTTGGTAGAGGTAATATTAGAGATAATTGGAACAAAACTGAGATTTTTTTTTCCTGACAGGTTTGAGATAAACACAGAGACATGAGCAGTGCTTTTAACCACTCATTATGCAGCTTTCTACAAATTTAAAATAATCATTCAATTTAGGTTCTTCAGTGACAAATTCACTAATGTTGTCACCATTCTGAATCTGAAATATTGACTGTGGCAATAACAGCTGATACGTCTTAGCAAAAATGTGTACTGTTCCATTCTGTAGACGGCATTTTCCACAGGAAGTTGAACAGCCCATCAGATTATTGGCCAAGGGCACTGTTTTTCACATTTCATTAAGGGTTGTTCTACTTTCCCTTTCTTATCTCCCAGAACAAATGGGATGTTTCAAGCTTTGAAGCGAGTTGGTGCCATGGCTGAACCAGAGAGTATGAGCTGCCCCTCAGTGTTTGGAAGTCTGAATGTTATGGGGAGCCCACCCTAACTTGGCCATGGAGTCCTGATGGCCTGAGCCCCCCTGGTTTGTGAGCTGCCCCTTGTGTTGATTTCTCAGTGTGCTGCAGAGAGAGTGCCGAAGGGCACATCCCTCCCACATCTGCCAGTGACAGCTACTGCCCGGTCACGGCGATCTTCAAAACTATTCAGAGCCCCAGCAACTGTTTTAATAAAGTGGTGAGGACATGTCATGGCAAATGTATGTATTGCTTGTTGATAAACTGTATCCAGGGACAACTGTTACTTTTGAACTGTATTTTTTAGCATGAACTACTACATTTTCCCGAGGCCAAACATCAAAATTGCTTTTTTCTCAATAATAGTTATCATCTGGTTGTAGTTTCTGAATTTCATGCTACTGGATTTAGAACATCATCCTATCACAAGGTAGCAATTTATTTGGCAGAATCTGTATTTTGCTTCCTTTAATCTACAAACTGATGGTGGCTATTACCCCCCATAAACTGAACTGACTTGGAAATGGTTGGAACACTTAGTCGGGTTTAATGGCTAGATCCAAATGGAGTCCCACTTCTCAGGTATTTCTGGGACACACTTTAATGCAATACCCCAGATAAGTCTTCTTTGAGGTCATTAAAAATATCAAAGACAAGTATCACATGACCTCACTTATATTCACTTATATGTGGAATCTAATGAACAAAATAAACAAACGACCAAAATAGGTCTGGAGGCATGGAAGCATATAACAGCCTGACAGATCTCAGAGGGACAGGGGGAGGGGGGGCAGAAAATAACCAAAGAACTTATATGCATATACGCATAACCCATGGACACAGGCAATAATAGTGCCGTGAAGGCCTGGGGTGGGGCGGGAACTGGGTAAGGGCAGGCAATAAGGGAGAAATGGGGAACATCTGTAATACTCTCAACAATAAAGATTTTTTAAAAATATCAATCTTGATTAAACCAAGAGGTGCCAATGGAAGATTTTATAATAAATTTTATATATAATGAAATCCTACAACACAGCTCAGAAAAATAAATATTAATCAGTGTTAACCCAGTGGCTCTGCAGTATAAGCAGGCATAACATCATGTCTAAGTTTGCCCTGTAGTCCTAGACAAGGTCATATAGCTCCTTCATGATAGAACCACTCTTTGAAAAAGACAGTGGGCTCTGTCATCGCCAATAGGCAGCTCCAGGGAAGCTCTAATTCCAGGAAGAACATTAGAGCCCACAGGGAGATAAAAGCAGCTGGTTAAGGAGAGACCTAAAAATCCCTGGCAGCTGCTAATGGGCCCAGGCCATGCTGAGCTCAGGTGAGAGCCCTTGGTAACAAGACCCACCTCCAAGACCTTAAGACTTGAGGAGCAACCAACAGACCACTGGGATTGTTAGCTCTTTTCAGTGGAAACTTGTGTTTCTCCCATGGTGGAAAAGTGAAAAAATATAAGAAGCAAGGGAAATAAAAAAGAATACAAGAGGAGGAAAGGAAAACTAAAGGGAGAGCACCCATTATTTTCAGCACTAAATTATATATAATATATTGACTTTACAGTGCTGCTTCATTTAATCTTCACACCACCCCTAAGAGTATTGATATAATCTTCATGTTATGCACGAGGAAATTGAAAGTCAAAGAGACTGGAAAAAAACACACCACTTGCCAAATATCAAATAGTTCATAAGAGTCAACATCAGGCCTGTGAATTTTTACCATACACAGCCCTTCCCATCTGCTCCACTTGCTCTATATAACCAAGGATTTGTTTGCTTTTTGCCCCACAAATTTTCTGTGTGAGTAGAATAGTAATTATCTTCTGGGAGGTATATCTTTTGAGATTAGTGTTCTAGAGAAGCTGCATTGTCGGCAAAGGAGTTTCAGAAATGCAGTGCCCATTGGAGTGGCTGGGACCCGGACAGTTCTAAGTATCGAAACCTAACTGCCAACCTCGTTGTTCAGCAAGGCCTCTCCGACACTCTGCCCCCTCCTACCTTAGTCCTTCGGGTGATCTATTAAATGGCTGTCCCCCACATGTCATTTCCTAGTGCAAGATATTTATCACTTCTTTAAACTGTGTCTTAGTCATTACGCTTCTCCTCTCCCGAGCTTCTAGTATAACTTTCTCATGCTCTTGTTAATGCAATTTATTCACTTTTACTAAAGGCAGGACCCATAAGCTGAGCGATGAAGAGAAAGAAAGAAGGCACCGGATAAAAGAAGC